TACCAATATTTTGTCAGTAGCATTCTGTTTAAAGAGAGGTATAATAAAGAACTGTGTCCAACTCATACTTCAAAGATCATTTCCAGTGTCCAGGCAGGATGAAAAAGACATACCACAGCCTGGAAACAGCTTCAAACTCCACAGATGATGCAAAGCTCACAAGCTTCACTGAAAACCCTCTTCAAAATGGAAGGCATAAACAGGATTAGTTTTCTCTTCTGAATCCTGGATGTTATAAGACAAGCAGCTGGGGATTTAGCTCAGTGGTACCATGCCTGCCTTGCAAGCACAAGGTCGTGAGTTCGATCCCCGTACCAAAAAAAAAAAACAAAAACAAAGACAAGGATTCCAGAAACAACAACAAAAAAACCCTTTAATTTTAGAATTTTATACTCTGTAATAAAGATATCATTTGTGTAAAGAATAAGTATTTACAGACTTGTTCAGAAAAATTCCAAGACAACATAATATTAATCATAACAGAAGTATGAGCCATGTCCCCAAAACACATGCAAAAGGATGTGTGAAGAAGCTTTAGTCTTAAGAAAAAACTGGATACATCCCAGAAGTCCCTTGATAGCCGGGCATGGTGGTGCACACCTGAAATCCTAGCACTCCAGAGGCTGAGCCAGGAGGATTGCCATGAGTTCAAGGCCAGCCTGAACTGAATTATGCAGTGAGACACTGTCTCAAAAAAAGTCCCTCAATAATAAGATAAATGGACAAAATATGGGACATCAACACAGTGGAACCCTCTCAAGCAGTTAAAAAAAATGAACTACTGGTACACACAGCAACTTGGAAGAAACTAAAAAGTAATGAGTGAAAATAGCTAGACATAAAACAAAAAAACTAGTTGGGTTACCTCTGTGATACTGCCAGTGAATGTATGGGGTTTTAGAAATGGAACAGTTTTGATCTGTGTGATGGATATGTAAAGGTGTATGAACATAAAAATCCACTAAGCCAGGTGTGTTGGCAGAGGTCTGTAATCCTAGCACTCTAGGAGGCCTGAGGAAATTAGTTGCTTAGTGAGACCATCTCAAAATAAAAAGGGATGAGGATGTAGCTCAGTGTGAAGTCCTGGGTTCAATCCCTAAGTACCAATAAACAAATATGGTGGGGATGTAGCTCAGTGGCAGAGTACCCATGTGTTCAACCCTCAGTATCACAAAGGGGAGAGGATAAGGATAGAGGGACTCTTCAGACAAATTTACTCTCAACATTCTGGAGGTGGGAAGTACCAAATCAGTGTCACTGAATAAATTCAGCAAGGTTGCACTCACTGAGAGGCTCCAGGCGATAATTCATTCCGTCTCTTCCAGCTTCTGGAGGTTGCTGTCATATTTGGCTTATGACAATGTAACTCCAATCTGCCACGCTGGTCACATCGCTTTCTCCTTTTCTGTGTGAGGATAATCAATGCTTCTGTGCCTCCCTCCAGTAAAGACATGTCATTGACCATGTTATCAAGGATAATTTCCTCATCTCTAGAGGCTTAAGTATTGCTGCAAAGACCTCTTCTAACAAAGTAACAATCACAGGATTCAGAGATTAGAACCTGACATCCTTGGAAGCCATTTTTCAGCCTGCCATACTCTCCTAAACTTTAATCAAAACCCTGGACTTCACTCCCAGATCAAATTTATTCCTTCAACCCAGTCATCATGGAAAGAATACCTGCACAAATTGCCATTGGCCAGAGTACCTGCATGTCCCTGGATTAGTCACTGAGGCAATGGGAACAGAATGAGAGGATACGGCTCCAACCCAGTGAGGACCATCCTCTGGTGCTGAGACAACCACATCCTACCTGCAGAGTTCATGGTGAAGGAGGAGCAGGGTGCTTCACACATAAACTCTGAAGACTTTCCTCTCACTCTGATTCTAGGTGCTAGCTTCTTTCCTGAACACAAGGGGGAGCTCATCTACCCTTACACTCCCTGGTGCCAACTTGGCTTTCCAACACTCACTGGAACTCCTACCAGGGTCCCCATCTCCTGCTTGCTCCCTGGATATTGAGTCTTCATTCCAGATCTCTATTAGCAAATCCAGAAATATCCAGCAAAGAAATGCATTTCTCTCCTAGACTTTGCAGAAGAAAAGCATCTTTGCTGATTTTTGTCCAGTAAGCAAATTTTGAACTTTTCATTTCCAGAGTTGTGAGATAATTTATTTTTATTTAAAGCCATCCAATTTCGGTATCTGTTACAGTGATAACTGAAAGCAAATACAGCTCCATGTCAACTTCCTCAGTCAAATGTTGCACAGCTACCTGATACTTGGAACTATGACAGCTGCCTTGAGACCATGAAGACCTGAACCTTGGAACTAACCAAGACAATACATTGAGCAAGGCTGAACCCAAAGTTGGATATGTCTAGCTTCAGACTACAGCTGAGCCTAGGAACCAGCCCTGGAGGCCCCTGCCTCTGGGCTTCACACAATTTAAGAAAAGAAGTGGTGGCACATTCTGTTACCTGCGACCAACAAAGTATCTTACATGATAAGCTTCCCTTGCTACCCACCAGTCATGCTGAGCCAGGATCTGGGCTTCCTAGAGGCATCCATCAGAAGTGACCAGGCCCTCCAAGCAGGCTGAGCCTCACTAGCCTGACTCAGAGTCAGTCCTTAGGAGATGGATACCACAGAGAATAGACACTCGCTGTGTTCAGCAGGAATGGCCCAGGAGCCTCAACTGAAATCTCAGGGGCACAGCAATGGGGTTGCAGACGGCAAAAAGACAATCCAGAGTCCTGTGTCTGGAGTGAAATCAAGCTGCAGGAAACAATGAGTTGCAGTCTGATTATTTTTCTGTGGTACTGGGGATTGAACCCAGGGCCTTTGCAGTGAGCTACATCCCCATCTTTTTTAAATTTTTTTAATATTTTGAGCCAGGGTCTCACTAAATCACCAAGTTGCCCTGGGTAACTCAAACTTCCAATCCTCCTGCCTCAGCCTCCTAGAGTGCATCACCACACCCAGCTGGAACACTTTTGAACTAGTAACTTCTGTGGACATTTCTCAAGTTTGAATCCAATTTGTTCCTTTGAAAACCAGCAGTTCCTTGCCTCAGATTTTGAGGAGGGAAGTACAAAGCCACATATAAGGTCCAGGCCTCTCAAAAGGCTCCATTGTAACTCTATTTGCTATTTATTGGGTCTACTAAACTTGAAAAAACTGACACTTTCAAACACTGGCCTTCCTGTCCTGGAACGTAAGCACCTCATCTCTGTGAGCTTACAGTTCTTCCCAGAAACCTGTTTTCCATGAGTCCTCTGCATTTCCCAACAGACCAATCTCACTTTTCAATGATTCTACTATAAAACTATTTTCCCCACATATTTGTTAGTTATTGAGAAGACTTTGTGCATACATATTTGAGCGCTGATTTATATCAATTTGTTTCTCATTCTGCCTGGCTTATTTTGACCTCGGTGGGACTGTGTGGAAAAGTGAAAGAGAGGGAGAGAGAGATTGAACTCAGGGCCTTTACACGGAGCTACAACCCACTGAGCTCTCGGTAAGTCCCTAAGGTACCCAGGAGAAGCCTGAATTGGGGATCTGCCTGCCTTAGCCTCCCAGAGTGCTGGAATTACAGGCATGCACTACTTCCATCGTACTTAAGCCTGTTTCATAATCTTATTTGTAGCTAGAAATTTTAAAATTCAGATTGCTGAGAGCAGCTTTTCTTCTTTGGTTTGGATATAGCCTTGGTATATAGCCTTTCAGGGTTGCTGATCAGAATATGAAAAAGACTGAAGGAGAAAAATAGAAGTCAATTTTCATGAGAGAAGGCAGACTTCCTAAACAAGGAGAAATACTGGTGGGTTGTATTCAGGACCAGCAGTTAATATGTATCTAGCTTGTTCTTTGCATTATAGTGGGCAAAAGACAAGACATCCCCACACTGGGGACAGCGAGGGGGAAAGTGGGAGCCCAGTGCTCAGTAACATAAGTTCTGAGTGGTCAGAAGCAGCACCAAGAATCAAACACTTGCAGATTTTCCATTCTGTGAAGAAACTTTTTTATGTGGCTTTTCAGTCATTTGCAACTGATCAAAGCCTGGCAAATACAGTGCAAGGGTATGAATTGGATTATTCCAAATCCTCTTCACTGGTGTGTCCTGCATTCTGTGGACTTTGCACATTACACCTTCAAGCAGACCATTTTCTGGAGGGAGGTTTCCTCAGCCTCGCTCACAGCTCAAGTTCTTTACCCTTTCGCCTGCTCAAGTCCAGTGTACATTATTTTGTTGACCTGATCTTTGATGCTGGGGGTAAGCAGGTAAAGAATATACAAACAGCAGTAATTGACCATAAAGCCCCTTTTCTGAGAAACAACTATGATAACACTAGTTTCCATGTAAAATTTAGACTAAATGCAAAACAATCAAATGAAAAGGTGTAGCCCAAGGGTGGGTCATTTCCACTGTGGTAATAAAAATCAACAACACTCCCTTAACCACTTTGGCAGGGAGTGAGCAAAGGAGCATGGGCAGACGCAGGGCTCCTAAACCCTGCAAGAAACCCTAGGGCAGTGAAGGATGGGGGGTCAGTGAGCCCTGAACCCAAGCAAGAAGAGAGAGCATTAGAGCGCCTGGTCTCGTGGAAGCCAAGACCACACCGGGCCGGGGGGCCTGCGAAGAGTACATGGAGAGTGGTCTATGGGAAGACAAGCGGACACCTGGCTGCCCCAACTACAAAGCGAGGTCACGGTCAGTGGCCCCTGCCACGCACACTTACTCACTTCTATCCAGACTGGGCTAGCTCCGCAGCCCTGAGACTGGGGGACACTCAACCCCATGCACACCTCTGCCCCGTTCTCCGCTCCCAGGAACTAGCAGGACACACAGCCCGGTTCTCCGCACACTTCTGGTCTCCCAAACTTCTCCCAGGCCCACCCCCGACCGGGGCGAAAGCCCGGAACCGCCCACCGCGTCCCTCCACTCCGCCTGACTCCAGCACCAAATCTCACCCTCTTCCGCCCTCTCCGCTCACCGCCAGCGTAGAGTGAAGCCTAGTTCCGCTCCGTCCTGGAACAAGGGTAGACCTTGGCTCCGCCCACACACTTCCCGTCCGCGCTGTCCCGGCCCCTAGAGCCGGCGCGCCGCCAAGTAGGCCCGCCCCGCACTTCCGTCCTAATCCCTCTGAGGGCAAGGCCTCCAGCTGGCCAACGCCTCCGCCTCTTCCGGCCCGCCCTTCTTCGCTCCTCCCCTTGCCTCAACTCAGGTCCGCCCACACGTGGTCAACCTTGGGATAAAACACAATTCCTCCCCGGCCTTAGTCGCCACCTACCGAGGTGCTGGGCCCTGGCAACCTGCTATAGGTACCTTCCACCCGAGTCCTCCCCCTCGCAGTTGGGCAGTCGATGACAGCCCGATCACTGCCGATCGCGGTTTCACGTGCCCCCCAGACGGCACGTCAAGATGGCCGCCACTGGGTGCGCAGGGGCGTCCGGGAGTTGTAGTCCATCCGGCGCGCAGACGCACTTAGCCGCGGCCGTCAGGCGCCATTGTGCGGCACGCGCCGGTAAGTACAGGGTGGGTCGTTACCGTCGGCGACCGCAGGTCGAGCGTAGCCTCGGGGATGACGCAGGGCGCGGGGAGGTCGGGCGTGGGCGACATGAACGGGGCGTTTCTGCGGCTGAGGGCCCGCAGCGCCTCCCGCCCTGAGCCTGCCGGCCGTCCCTTCCTCGGTTTCCCAGAATTCCGCTCGTCGCGAGGGTCGCTAAGGACGAGGACAGCATGGCTGCCGGGCTGCCGAAGCCGTGGGTCTCTGTGAGTAGCGGCGTCTGGGTTCTGAGCCCTCATCCCCGAGGGCAGCTGCGGGTGGAACTTCCCCTCACCTCTGGAGGCCCCAACAGGAATCCCGCCTGGGGGAGTAGCTGCTCTGCTCTCCGGGGGTGGATCTATGAGAGCGGGCCTGGACTTGTCCAGTCAGGGATTAGGCTCGTGCTTACTCAACATCGACTTTGGGATCGACCCGAAGTAACGTGAAGCTGTGCTGGGTGGGACACTCCTGTAATCCCATCAGGGAGGCTGAGGCAGGAAGATCGAAGTTACGAGCCAAGCCTGGGCAACTTGGGAATTTATGAGATCCTGTCGCAAAATTTTTAAATAAGTAAAAATTTTTAAAGGGCTAGTGATGTAGCTCAGTGCAAAGGCCTTGTGTTCAATCCCCGCGGGGGGGGGGGGGAGTGCGTTGAGATCAGTAACAAAAGAGAAAGGTGAGATGGATCCCTAGCAGGTGAAAGAGGTAGAAGCAAGAGGACTGGAGGTGGGAGGTGAAAGCTTGATCCCTGAGAGATAAATATGTGCACACCAATTTTAGAATCAGATCCTCACATTAAATGAACAGATTTTCAGACCTGAGGTCTCACTTGCAGTCCTTACTGTGACCTGAATAGGACCAGGCTTGGGTTTCCTCAAGGTGTCAAAGATAGGAGCTCCAGATGAGACAGGAAGAATGCTCCTCAGTTATCATCCCCCCTCTTTCTGCCACCGTGGAGGAGGTTCTGCCCAGGCTGAACAGGATCCTGTGGGTTTTAGGAACCGGTGGTCTTTGAAGATATAACACTGACTTTTACCGCGGAGGAGTGGGGACTGCTGGACCTCAAACAGAAGTCCTTGTACAGGGAAGTGATGCTGGAGAACTACAAGAACCTGCTCTCAGTGGGTAAGGCTGGTGTCCATGCCAAATCTGTGCATTGTAGCAACAAAGGTGCTGTGGAGGTGTCTGCTGTAGCCTGAGTAGAGGGATTTAAGCATGGGGCCTGAGAGAGAGGGCTTTTCCTTATATCCACAGGAAAAAGGCAGTTTCTCAGTATGACTTCTCAAGCTTCACTGAATCTATCCCTGTCAGCCCCTGAATACTAGGGTTGGTTTATTGGGGATATTTTCAGCTGTCGAAGTGGATGTTTTTTGTTTTTGTAATGGTTCCAGGGGGTGAGGTATCAGTGTTCCAGAGCTCAGCTATATACTGTGCTCATCAAAGATCCTGATCCTTTTTGTATCTGTGGTTCTTGTGAACCTTTCTGTTGTCTGGTTAGTCATTACATAACTGGCTCCAAGCTTTGTGTCTGTGTTGAAGGCAGAAACAAGGGAAAGAGACAATCCTGTCCAGCTCTTTCACTGCTGTTACATTTAGCTAGAAAGCAGATGCTTTCCAAAACTGTCATACCTTCACCCCCAGCCACCTCTATTCTCTAGGGAATCTAGGAAGTCTGACAAAAAGGATGCATACACTGGTGTATGTGACTGCTGTAGGTCCAAGGTCATTTCATAACCTAGCAGGACAGAAGCCAGAGACAGTGTGTGTTGCACCAGGACAGTATTTTTTTTTTCTGAACACAGACCTCCCCAAGTACTATCTCTTTTCCCTTGAGCAGAACATCAGCTTTCCAAGCCAGATGTGGTATCTCAGTTAGAGGAGGCAGAAGACTTCTGGCCGGTGGAGAGAGACATTCTTCAACACACAATTCCAGGTGAGAACCAGGCACATGGGAGTTCTGCAGGGCACAAGCCTGCTGGTTAGACAGAGATTGGTGTCTTAGAAAAGAGATGGATAGTGAGAACCAGGTGAGGTGTTATGGCGAGACTCAAGCTGCAAGTTTTTCCTCTGACCTCAGTGTCCTGCTTGGTTGAAAGTGAACCTGTTGTTAGTGGCCAGTAGTTCATGTGTTGACCGTGGGGTCCTTTGCTTTTTCTATTCATTGTCTACTGTTCTTTCCCTGTACAATCATTTATAATTTTGATGTGTTCTTTTGGCCAGATTATGGGGGGGGGTTGTGTTTTTGAGACAATGTCTCACTGTGTAGGCTAGGCTGACCTTGAACTTGTGATCTTCCTGCCTCAGCCTCCTGAGTATTGGGACTACAGGTATGGGCCACTGTGCCCAGCTAGGCAGGCTTTTTTCTTACATAAGTGTGCATGTAAACACACGTTCACTTTTAGGTGTTATACATAATACAAGCAGGTCTACATTATTTCTTTTAACAGCTCCAATGTAGTTCATATTTGATTTCTCCTGTCTGTGTGGATATTCAAGTTATTGCAAAGAACTTCCTTATATACATTTTTCTGCGGGTACAAGTTGATTTTCTTATAGGTTGGATTTCTAGGAATAGATCCATAGGATTTACTAACATGTAAGTTAAAAATCTGGTAGCAATAAATTGCTAGCACTTGAGAGGCTGAGGCAGGAAGGTCACTGAGTTTGAGACCAGCCTGAACTACATAGTGAAACCCTGTCTCAAAAATTAAAAAAAGTTGCTGTCTAAAATCCTTCATAATACGGTTGTTGCTGAAGCAGCAACAATCCTCGTCACCAGAAGTTTGTAATGGTCTTTTAAGGTTTTCCTATCTTACAGGCAAAGGAAAATGTTTTCAATTCAATTCATATTTTTGTCACGACTGACAAAATGACTCATTTTTGTGGCCTCATATATTTAACTCCAGCCCCTTTATTTTTCTTTCTCCCTCTTTTTCTTTTTTGTGTGGTACTGGGGATTGAAACCAAGGCCTCACATGATCTAGGCAAGTGCTGTACATCCCTAGCCCTTTTTAAATTTATTTTACATTTTGAGACAAGATGTTGTTAAGTAGTCTAACCTGGACTGAAACTTGCAGTCCTTCTGCCTCAGCTCCCTGAATAGCTGGGATTACAGACATGCACCATCATGGGTCTTATTGGTGAGGGGGCAGGGGAGGTGTCCCCTATGTATTTTGGATATCAGTACTGAAATAATATATCTTAGACCAACATTTTTGTGTGTGTTTGGTTCTTTGGAGATGGGATTGCACTGTGTTCCAGCCTGGCCTTGAATTCACTATGTAGCCCAGGCTGGCCTGGAACTCATTGTGATCCTCCTGCCTCAGCCTCCTGAGTGCTAGGATAATAGGTGTGCACCACCATGCCAGCCCTGTTGTATTTTTAAGTATAGTAGTCTTTATACAGAAGATTTTGTTTTTGTTTTTGAGACAGGGTTTTTCTAAGTTGTCTAGGCTGGGCTCAGACTTGGAGTCCTCCTATCTCAACCTTCCTGAGTGCTGATATGCTGATATTACAGATGTGTGCCACCCTCTGTGCAGAAATTTTGTGATTCAAAGAACTTTTCCTTTTCAAATTTGCCCTTATATATTTGTTTTGATGGTACCAGAACACTGACCTAAATCCCCAGCCCCTGTATTTATTTTTGTACTGGGTTTCTTATGTAGGCAAATTGTACTTCCATGTATTCAAGCATTTTTTGCTTTTTATTTAGTTTTAATTTATCTGAAGTTTTCTTTAATATATAGTATGGGAGACAAGTTCTTTCAACATCATTTTCTGACAAAGATCTTCATTTATTGGAAACACTAGCTTTGTGTGGATTAAATTGTGGTCGTAGTGCACAGGCTCTTTTTGGGCTCCTTTGATCTTGTCTCTGAGGAGACACCACATTGCTGTACTCATTACAGCTTTATAATGAGCTGGGATAAATGTTAGTTCCCCTGGTACTGTGAAAACAACTCCTTAGCTGACATTGGCCATCTAGTTTTTCACGTGAACGCTTACGTTAACTGGTCTGGGTTGAGAAAATCCTGTTAGAGTATATCTTACAATTTTGATTGCATTGCATTGGTGTTATCTGATCTGTTACTTGATTCTGCGTCTTGCACAATTGTTCCAGATGAACTTGTCATACTGCTAAATTCTCTTATTTATAAGAGTTGTGTTAGATTCTCGTTAGATTTTCTGGTACAGAGTCATTTTACCAACGTGTATAAAAGAAGAGGCAGTTATAGTTTTATTTCTTTTGAATAGTCTCGTAGTGTAATTGGTTTCATCACCAGTGGTATTTCAAAACACGCTGATAGCATGAAGAGTAGGTATCTAGTCTGATGTAAATTGGAAAGGTTCTGGGTTTAAAGAGCATGATTTTGGATTCTCCTTTCTTTTGGATCAGTTTTTATCTAAATGATTAAGGTCATCTAGCTTTTTCTAATGAATGGAAGCAACTAACATTCCCATTTTCCCTTCCAGACCCTTTCAAGGTAGGTCTAAGGAATTTTACCTTTGAGTAGTTCTAGTGGTATTGATAAAATTAGGAAGGTGGGGGTTTTTTGTGTGTTTGCTATCTTCATCAAGTGTGCTGGCTGCAAAGCACACTGGCTACTTCTTTGCTCTGAGCTTGAGAATAAATGGCATTGGAAACACCTGCCTCTGGTATGTTTAGCTGTGAAATTTCCACTTGGTCCCCAGCTTTATTTTGCCACCAAATGGAGGGACTGGAGTCTCTGAATATTTGCCCCCTTTTCCACATTTTAACTTGCTTATACTGTTTCTGGGATTTTTTCCAGCTTGCCCACCACCCCCTCCCCTTTTTTGAAACAGTATCTCGCTATGTAGTTCAGGCTGGCCTTGAACTTGTAGTGATGTTCCTGCCTCAGCCTCCTGAGTGCTGGGATTACAGGCTTGCACCATCAGTCCCATCTGATTTTATTTTCTATTTAAAATACTTCTGTTCTTTCATTGAAATTTCTTGTTAGCACATATCCCCAAATTGTGCCTCATCTGCCAGACCTCCAGTAATACAAGCACTTCTTAATCTGCCTGTGATGGGTTCCGCCCCGTGATTGCTCCTCTTGCTCCAACCTCCTTGTGTCCCTTCCTCCCTGGAGCCAAGTCCCATGTCCTAGCAGTGTACTTTTGATGGTCTAGAGTTCCCTGAATCTGGCAACTCGGGAAGGGAGCACTGTGGGCATCTGTAGTTTTGCACATCTGAGGAGAGCTGGCGTCTCAGAGGAGAGGAGAAGGGGTAGTGTCCCAGGGTACAATCCAGGGAGAAGCTCTTCGGGATGGTTTCTTGGGGGCTGGGCCTGAGATGGGCACCCTGAGTCTTCTCTGTCAGAGGGTCCTTCATGAGATATTTTCCTTCTCTTTCCTTCCTTCCTGTTTTACACCTCACAAATATTTATGGAGGGCTTCTCCCTTTTTCTCTGATATAGTAAACAGGTGATAAACCAAAGGCCAAACAATCCCCGCAGCCAGAGGCTTCATAGACTAGTAAACGATGACCTACAAACAGGTTCCTCAAATGTAATGGCAAAGTGTGAGAAGCACCAAGGAGGAGAAAACATGTGGGCGGAGCAGCAAGGAGGAATTGTTCAGAGAGAGTATGTAAAGACAGTGCAGGCTTGACAGTGAGCTGATTTCTTCAGGCAAAGAAGTCTTTAGAGATTAAAAGTTTTGTTTGTTTGTTTTTCTTATTTTTTTGGTACCAGGGATCGAACTTGGAACTTTATTCTTGCAAGGCAGGCAGCAGCACCACTGAGCTAAATCCCCAGCCCCATTTAGACATTAAAAGTGATAGTGAAGAGAACTTCCAGACACAGAGACACCACTTGGGGTGGCCATGAGACGGGAAAGAGCTAGACACTTTTCAGCAAACAGAAAGTTGTCCAGTGAGTTCAGGATAGGTAACTGGATCATGAAGACATGCAAGTTATGTTTAGCAAAACCCAGAAGGCCTCATGAGCTGTGAGGGAGTTTGATTTTAGTTCTTGAGCAAGGCTGTGACATGGCTTTTCACAGCAGTTTGTGAGGAAAGAGCTTTGGAAAGGAACAGACAGAGGCAGACAGGAGGCTGTAGTATCATGTAAGGGAGAGATGGTAAGACTTGCTCTGAGAGAGTAGTAGCGGGACTGGGGAGAAGCAGTTTGGTTCATTCACAGGGGACTCAGTGGGGCTAGGTTAAGTAATTGGCCTCAAGGGACAGAAGAAAGCTGCTAGAAATTCCTCACTGGCAAGCTAAAACATTATAAAATTTTCTGTGAGCTTTGTAATCTGAAAACTTAAAAATGCATTCCTTTTTCTATATGTTTGTGACTTGTTTTGAAAATATGAGGGAGAAAACAATTCCTGAATTTTTGCATTAGCCAGTTACATAGAAAAGTTTGGCAAAGCCATAGACTGTTTTGTTGGGGGTTTTTGTTTGGTGGTTGTTGTTTTTTTTTTGCCCCCCACCCTGTACCAGGGATTGAACTCAGCACTCTTGCACTTTTGAGGCAGGCACACTGCCACTGACCTAAATCCCCAGCCCCTGCATAGACTGTTTTGAAGAGCAGAAATACATGGATTTTTTTTTTTCTTCTTACATTGAAATAATTTTTAACCAAAAGTTGCACTAATCATGCAAAGAACTCACAAATAACTTTCACCTTGATTTAAGTGTTTGAACCAGCCCATGTCATTACTGGTTCTGTCAGTGAAACATGACTGAAGGGATCATGGGGATAAAAAAAGAGGTTTGTAGAGCTATTTGAATGCATCTCTTTAGACCTCAGAAATGGGTTCATGGAGCACATAGAAATGTGAGAGTTTTAGAATGGCATACTTTACCATTAAATGAGACATCTGTCCCTTGCAGTAGCCTTTCCCCAACACTAGAGTGGCTTTGCCTCTCAATGCACAGAACTGGTTTTTAATGCAAAAATGGACCTTTTTGAAAACTCAGCTTTGGGTGCGTCTCAAGCTTTCCATCATAGCTAAGACAATAGCAGGCACTCTGTAGAAGTAGAAGGGAAAGTGGATAAATGCTAAGACAAATAGCATTTGTCCTCAGGAAAGCACTGTATTGGGCAAGATGCTATCAAGATAATATGATGGTCACTACTGAAATCAAAATAGACAGTACTCATATCTGCTGTCATTTAGTGTCCCTTCAAGAAAATATTGCCACATGCATGACTCTTCAGTGGAACACTTGAAAGTAAACTACATTTAATCTTTAGGAAAGCAGTGCAGAGAAGAAATAAGCTAACAGATCATTTAACATTTTCAATTTAAAATATTAAAGAAGAGTAATCCTGGTACTCTGGTAGGTTGAGGCAGCAGGATCACAGTTGGACCCAGCCTGAGCAACTTAGTGAGATCCTATCTCATTTTTTTATTTTTTTATTTTTTTTGTGGTACCAGGGATTGAACTCAGGTCCTCACATTTCCATAGCAGGTGGTGAAACCAGTGAGCTAAATCCCCGGCCCCCTGTCTCAAATTTTTAAAAAAAGCCCTGGGGATGTAACTCCATGGGAGGACTCTGGATTTAATCCCCAGTAGTGGGGTTGGGGGAGAGAGCATGAAAAAAGCCTTGTAAATATGAATGTAGCAGCTCTTTTAAAAATAACGGAGAGGACCATTTATTTGTGTGTTTTTGAAAGTAAGACAAATCCTTCTCTGGATTTCATCCTTCATGTACCTGAGGGGATTCCCATAGGCTACAAGATTAAACTTGTGGAGATTGTAGAAAATCAACAGAACACAATTTATATGTATAAACAGAGGTTTGTATAAACATGGTTTTATATAAACATAGTTCTTCAAAGAACAGGATAGAATAAATGTTTAATGTGAGAAAGCCTAACTTCAGTGCAGTGTGGACTTCCTTATTTAAGAGAAAGCTCATATAAGAAATTAACCTATAAAGACCTTGGGTAGAAGTACTTTTCATGAGTTTTTCAGTACCTGAAAAGCACACGGGGAAGAAATCTCAGGAATGATTGTAGCAGGAGACTTATGACCTAACTCATTCTTACCTTAAGAGAATTCATACTGGACCAAAAAAAAAATCCCAGTTGAATTGAATTTGGAAAAGTTCTTACACCAAATACTGTAATTAACATTTGAGAATACTAAACCATGAGAATGTGGTTGGTGTGGGAATGTGCATCATTTCCTTACCCACCATCAAAGAGTGGTATGGCAGAGAGCCTAAGAACAGCCTTAGGATGGGTTCCAGTGTCAAAAAAACTCACAAGCATCCCTGCGAACAGAACAGCATGGAAGCCCTTCAGTAGGAGTCCTCATTGTATTCTGTGTCAGAGAACTCATATGGGCAGGTACCCTTGGAATGTCATCTCTGCAGGCAAATCACCAGGCTCCTACCTTACTTGACAAAGTGAAAAGGCCTCATCTGTTTTTATATCAGATGTGACACAGATGACAAACCACTACCTAAAGAGTATATCACAATAGTAAAATAAATCCTATCTTTAAAATTTTTTTCTTATTACCAGATCTGAATGTCTAGAACAAGTATTAAATAATATAGATGAGAAACAAGTACCCTTAGATCTGAGTGTGTCCCCATTGTGAGCACAATGATGGAATTACTAGGAGTTCATTAAGCTACTACTAAGTGAATTAATAGCTCCACAAATTATGAAAGACAGGAGTTTCTTCAAGGAGAGTGTCTTGCTGTGGTGATCCACACTTGTAGTCCTGGCACTCTGGGAGGTTGAGGCAGGAAGAGCAGGAGTTAGAGGTGTGGAAACTTCATTGGATGTTCAGTTACTGCTGGGTTGAAGGCCAGTGTAATACCTGAAGCTGTGGATATGTTATCAGACCCTATGCAGTACACATATGCTGGTTTTCCCCCATACTTGTATCCACAAGATAAACTTCTTACCTTTTCACAGCTTTGCTGGCATATCCAAATGGCCAGCATCACTTTTTTTGTACTTTGAGGCCATTGGTTAAGTGAAATAAGGCTTACCTGAATATAGCCACTGAAGTAAGTACTACAGTAGTCTATAGTTGGGAAATGGTTGCTAAGGGATTAAACTAGTAAGTGACAGCTACTATATAGCATATGCAGTGTTTGATAGACTGGACAAAGGAATGATTCTTGTCTTGGGCAGGAAGGAGCAAAATGGCATGAGATTCTATTACTAAGAATGGCATGCCGTTTAACTCTTAACAAATTATTTCTGGAATTTTCCATTTAATACTTTTGGACCATTACAGTGGACACCATTTACTGATAAGAATTATTATACAGCTCCATGTGGGTGAGTGGGTAGGTTAGTCACAGCTGTGGCCTGGGTGGATCAGAAACCAGGTTGACTTCTACAGGCTGTGAATTTAAGTCCTACCATTTTCTCCTCCATGAAGTGGAGCAACTAGTTTCCAGACATAGAGGGTGGTAAGGATTACCTTGAAGGGCTTGGAGTGTGGTTCTTGGGTTAAGACGACTGAAGTGCATAAAATGACTGGGGCAGTCACTTCACCACCAGTTTCCAGGCCTATTGCTAGTCTCACCGACTGTGATGTCCTTGGTTCTACCACACCCGGTAGGTGTTTTATGATAACTGTGGGGCTGTAGGATTACACAGGGCAGAGGAGGGATGGTGGCTGCATATCCACTGTGCCCCCAGCACCTGTAGGACAGAGGGGCAGAGTCCCTGACATCCACACACAGACTCAGAGGCTCTAGCAGGACGGGCTTTTGTGGACACTCTTCAGCAAGTGACATTTCTGAGTGAGCCTTCAATGGAAGATGCTGGAAAAGGACCTGAATGCCCCCAAGTACACATGATCAAGATTAAAAGACCAGAAAACTAGATGAAATACAGTAAAGAAACTCCCAACAGCTGTTTTCCAGGAGGTAATGCACTAAATAAAAGTCCCCCTTGATTAAGGAAACAAAATCTTCAAAGTTACTAAGCTATGAAGCAGAGGAGAGTTAAGATTAATTTTAAGTGCCATTTATAATGGTCACTTAATGATACCTGTGCCCTGGCCCAGATCTACCAGGGAATCCAGGTTCACCCAGGTACTTAATCTTGTGCTATTGGGTCTCTAATAAATTCCTATTCCTGGCCTCCTGAGTTACCCTTAGGATAATTAAGCCTAAGAGCTATTAATTGAAAGACAATAAATAAACAAGCTTTTTAGTCATCAGGGATGTGGATAGGGGAGTAAACCCCTAGGAATCATAACAGGAAGGGAACTGAGTAGCTGAGAAGTAATTTGGGGAGACAAGCCTCCAAATGAAAAGAGCTTATTTTGGGGGAGAGGTTATCTAATTAATCTTACCAAATGTAGACAAGAGACTTGCTGTGGCTGAGAGTTAGATGCTCACCTCACCTGTCCATTTTGCAGCAGTTTCCATCACGTTATGGTCTGTGAAGTGAATACCAGGAAGCCAATCCAGGCCACCATGGAGAGTCACAAAATTAGGGAGGGGAAGAAGGGGAAGGATCTAGACTGGGGAAAAAAGGGATTGAGGATCCAAGGCAAAGCACTAAGGGCTGCACTCCCTGACCTGCACATTTATACAAGGGTGAAAATACAAGTTTACTCTTGACGTCATTTATGCCATTGAGCATTGCAAGTATAATTAGGAGTCATATTCTGATTATTTACGTTTTTCTGCTTTTAAAGTTAGCATTTCTTTTTTCTTTTTTTTTCTTTTTTTTTTTTGCGGTACCAGGTATTGGACTCAGGACCTTGCACTTGTGAGACAGGTGTGGTGCCACTGAGCTAAATCCCTGGTCCAAATTTTGGGGGAGGTTAGAGAGCTTGCTTCCAAAGCATTTAGGACTGGCTTGGAGTTCAGTTCATCAGATGTGCTCTTGTAGATGGCTGTGCCAGGGCCCAGAGCACCTGCCTTTGCCAGGGATATTTGTTCTTAGTCCCAGTGGAGGCAGAAGTGGGTTCTTCTTGGGCTTTGTGCATATGCAGTGTTTACAGGTCTTAACCCTATGTACTTTTGATGTAATGTTTTAAATACCCTAAAGTTGACTCTTATAAAGTGTTTGAGTGGTTTTTAATATGTTCACAAAGTTGTGCAACCATCACTACCATCTAGTTCCAGAAGACTTTTTAGCACTTGAAGAATTACATATTTGCTAGCTGTTATCTTCCACTTGCTTTAATTCTTCCACCTCTTGGCAACTTGTCCATTCTGGACATTTCATATAAACATAATTATACCACATGTATTCTTTCATGTCTGGCTTCTTTTACTTAGATATTTTCAAGGTTCATCCATGTGGCATATTAGCACTTCATTCCTTTTTATTGCTAAATCTTTCATTCTACGAAAGACCACACTTTGCTTGATGGTAGTCTGATTTAATGATTCTATGACTTTATGATGGTGTAAGCCTTGTCTGTCTGATACAAATTGTAATGTGATGTTTGATAGGTTAGATGAATTAAATGCATTTTCAACTAATGAAATTTTGGATTTATCATGATCATAAGACAAGAGGTTTTCTGTATTCACCAGTTAACAGACATTTGTGGTGTCTCATTTTTAGTTACTAGAAATAATGCTGTTGTGAACATTTTTAGTATAAGTTTTATTAGGTATATATACATGGGGACAGTTCCTGGGTTGTATAATAACTATGTGAAACAGTTTAACAGCTCCTTAAAAAGTTTAAAAAGTGTCACAGCATTCTGTATTCCTACAAAGTTCCTTTTTTTTGAGTGCTGGGTATTGAACCCAGGGCCTAGTGTATGTTAGGAAAGTGCTCTACCACTGAGCTACTACCCCAGCCCCACCATGTATCTTTGATAGTAGCCATCCTGGTGGGTGTGGTTTTGATTTGCATTTTTTTGATAGTTACTGACCTTCAGCATCTTTTCTTGTGCTTGTGGGACATTTTGTGTTCCTCTGCTTTTTGTTTACAGAATGTCCTGGTGCTGAGGCTCCACTGGACTCTCAGTTGAGTCCTGTTCCTACTGAGAATCCCCTAGTAAACATCAAGGTTGTTGAGGTCCTCACCCTGAACCAGGAGGTGGCTGGTCCCCGGAATGCCCAGATCCAGGCCCTTTATGCTGAAGACAGTGGCCTGACCACAGACATCCTCAGGAAGCCAGCCCAGCAGCTGAGAACATATCCAGCAGACCCTGAAGTCGCTCACCAGAAGTTCCGGCAGTTCCAGTATGAGGAAGCCATGGGTGCCTGGGAGGCTGTGGCCCAGCTCCGTGAGTTGTGCCAACAGTGGCTACAGCCCAAGGTGCACTCCAAGGAACAGATCCTGGAGTTGCTGGTGCTGGAGCAGTTCCTGGGTGCACTGCCTGGGAAGTTCCGGACGTGGGTAGAGTTGCAGCACCCAGAGGACTGCCAGGCAGCCATAGCCCTGGTAGAAGATGTGATCTCAATGTCCAAGGAAGGTGGTGAGTATGGTGAAAGGGTGTGGTGAGAAATATCTTCTAAGAGGAAAGACTGTTCTCACTCTGCAGACCAAAGGTGTCTGGGTCTGTGTGTGTTACCCAGAGTAACTGGAATCCCATGATGGCACCCCACGCTGTGATGTTTAACCTTTCACAGGCTTCCAGGGAAGCTCATGGATACAGTACTTTGCTGTCATCCCTTTGGGGTCCAGGCCACACATAGCTGTCCACCTCTCCAAAAGGGCTATGGATAAAGGCAGAGCTTGCTAAGTCTGAGGCCCAGCAAGAAAGGCAAAGCTGTGACAAACGAATATGCATGTGGCGTTGATGGGGTGGAAAAGAGGTCAAGGGCAGTGGCAGGACTTGTGGAGGCTTCATCTCTGCAGCTGACACCTATGTGAACTAGAACTTGGCCGGGTGAAGAAGTGGGGCAGGAAGGATATGACAAGCAGAGGCAGCATCAGCATGAGGGCCCAAGATGGAAGTGATCTCAGTACAGTGTCCATAAGTCAGGGAAATGTTGGGTAGATTTGTGGTAGAAGGAAACAGGATGGGGCTGTCCTGTTAGGAGATCTTTTTATTCTTTAAAAATGAGACAGCACTTGCATTGTTGCCAAGGGTGGCCCTGAACTCCTAAGGTGCAGGTGATCCTCCTATCTCAGCCTCCTGAGTAGTTAGAACTACAGCACACATCACTGTACCAGCTTATAGGGGTTTGCATGTTGCCTTATAGCATTGGGGAGTCTTATGCTATGGCAGTGGGAATTGTCCCTGAGTTGTAGGTGTGAGCAGCCCATTCTGATGTGAGCTTTAGTCTCCTGGTTATAGCACGTAGGGGTGGTTAGACGGGGCAAGGCTAGAAGGACATTGGTCATCTCAGAACCAATGCTGTGCACACTGCGAAGGGCAGTGATTTGTGCAGAAGTAATAGTGGTGAGTGGGGCAAGGGCACATTGGGATGTGTTTACAGATGAGACTCTGAGACTTGACTCCTCCATCAGGCTGAGCTTTAGGAGCATGAGGGCTCTTATGTTGCTCACCTCCATTTTCCACGTGCCCAGGTGCCTAGAAGATGTTTCTGGAATGAAGAGATAGTTGACTGGTTGACATTTGTATTTGCAGAGGAAGGAGGAAGCAGGCAGGCAGGAGCTGTTCATTTCAGATTCACTAAGTGCTGTGGTTGGCAGAGTCATTGCCTCAAAGCTGCCTATGTCTCAGAACCTGGACCAATAGAGGATGTTACCTCACATGTCCACAGGGACTTCATGGAGTTGTGAGCAAAGGTGATACAGAGAAGGGCCCATGAGCCAAGATTTTGGAGCAGCCTGTAGAAGCTGACAAGGCAAGCAATAGATCTTCCCCTTGGACCTTCGAAAGCCCTGGTAACTCCTTGACTTTAGCTTAGTGAGGCTCATATCAGACCTCTGATCTCTAGAAATTTAAGGTGATTTTTATTCATTCAATCCACTAAATTTATGGCAACTTGTCATAGCAGCAGTGGAGTATCTGAAGCAGATATTGGGGAGGTAGTTGTAGAGCTCCTGAGATGGTTCACCCTGAGCTTAACACCTGTCACAGAGAAAGACAGGAAGAAGCCTCCTGGGAACTTTGAAAAGAGTGCATTTGTGTTCATTGTGTTAGTTGGGACTCAATGGTGTGACTGCCATAAAACCTTATAGTGTCTCTACGGAGAAGCAAATAGGCAAGTTCCAGGAGGAAGAGATAGTAGGCCAGCCTGGGTCACATCATGTGCCCCCTTGACAGTGGGTAGAAGTCCACGGACCATGTAGGGACACATGAAGGCCAGATGTGAAGGAACAAGGTTGGATGTTGGGTGGGGCAGAGTAGATGTTTCATACGGTGGAAGTGATGACTGCACTAGTGGCCAAGACCCACCTTTCATGAGGTGGCAGTCAGATGGAGGGCAGGTAGGGGTGCCCACAGGAGGGGCCCTGAGGCATGAGGAAGGCTGGCTGTCACTGAGGAAGTCAGGGCCCAAGACAGTTCCAGGGGTGTGTAGAGACAAGAGAGGGTCTTGGCAATGGGGAGACTGCCCTGTGACCTTCTGAGTGTAGGGGCTTGGTCATAAGCTGTGAAAGGCAGTGGCTAAAGGAGTCTGGAGACCCAAGACATCCTGTTGTTAAGCCCTCCCCACCCTCACCCCACATGCGGTGTCTCCTCCAGCACTGCCTTCCCAGGTGTCTGCCTGCTTTCCCAAGGCTACCACTCAGCAGCAGAGGAAAGAGAAGGATACAGCCATCTTGCCAGTGGCAGAGCTGCCTGAGGTGAGTAGGCTCTCACCCTTTGTTCCGCTTGGCACAATGTCCCCATGATGCATTCCTCCTCTGCCTCTGGCTTTCTAAGGCCTCCTGAAGGCTGGGCTACTCTGAAGCAACCCACAGGCTAAGGACAGCACTGCCTGTGGCCATTGAGGTATACTTGAGGACCAAGACAGGGCACCATAGCCTAGAGTAGAGAGAACCCCATTATAGGACAAGAGGGCTGACATAGAAGAGGAGTGGCTACCAGCTAGGTGTGGGGGAATGTGAAAGCCCTGCTCCTACAGAAAACACTTGGGGTTTGTGAGTGAGCCGTTAAGTCTAGGATTCCTCTCCCACAGGCTGGGATGTGGATGCAATAGGGCTGATGCTGTCCAACCAGCCATTAGAGTGGTGGTGTATATGGCATTGCTTAGTGCTGTTTGCATTGTAAGTGGCTTGCCCTGGCTCAAAGATTTGAGTGAATTCATTGGCTCTTCTGCAATGAGTAGTTGAGTCAGGCTTCAGGCGAGGCTATGTACAGGTGGCCCAGGTAGTGGAAGGATTACCAGCCCATCTTGTGGCTCCTCTGTTTTTTCCCATTCCTTCTCAGGCAAGCTCTTCTACTTCTGGGCAAAATGCCTCCCAGATCCAGGCAAAGAGGGTGGGAAGTCCTGTCAGCTACCCAGAAAGGACTCATCATGGCACAGCCTGGGTCAAACTGTCCATGAAGCCAAGGGCTTTGTCCACCATGTGGGGCAGGGCAGCACTCAGTGGGATACCTTGGATAAGATACAGGCGCAGACCTGGCTGTTGTGCTTGTAGTTCTGTCTCCATCCCTATGGGGATCTGGTTGTGTAAAGGGTCTTGATGGACTTGTGGACCCCGAGTCATTATCTGAACAAGCCCCCAAGGCACAGAGTCCCTGGCACAGGAGACACACATGTGACATTACAGGAGCCGGTGACCTTCCAGGACGTGTCTGTGGACTTCAGCCAGGAGGAGTGGGGCCTGCTGGGCCCAGTGCAGAGGACTGAGTACCACGATGTGATGCTGGAGACCTTGGGAAACCTAGTCTCCGTGGGTAAGGGTGCGCTGCCTTCCGGGTGCTGTAGGTCTCGTGCCTCCTTTGGGACTGGCTGTGCACTCAGGGTGCCTTGTTCTATCCAGGGCCTTTAACTGGAACCACAAGCCTGCAGAGTAGATGCTTGGACAGATAGAAGCCTCAGGTCTCTCATCCCCAGGATGAGAGAATCTAAGGGCATTTCCTGCCCCCGACCATCTCTTGGGCACCAAATTGAGCCCTTCCCTCTTGGCTGCTTCTCAGTTTCTCAGTTGCTCCCCAGTTTGAATGACTGTGTGTGGATCCCATCCTGGCACCATCTCTGCACTGCACACCTTCTGGTTTCTTTCAGGGTGGGAGACTGCAGCAGAAAACAAAGAGTTAATTCCAGATTCTAATGTTCCTGCTGAAGAACCCATTTATGACCCAAAAGTGAATGAATTGTCTAGGGAAGGCACCCAGCCCTCTGCCTTGGAAGATCTCTTGCAAGATGGCATCACAGAAGTCCTGCATGCAGCATTTCAAGAAGAGGAGTTTGCTGAAGACAAACCCATCCCCCAGAAGCACCTCACTGAGAACCCTGAGTCAAAAGCAGACCCTGGTCTCGACACAAGCCAAACTTCACCCCAGAAAATTCCTCCTAGGAAATGTTTCCGCAAACTACTCTCACAGTGTAAAAGTGTAACCCATAGTTCACACATAAAAGATCACCAGAAGGGCTATGAGCCAGGCAAAGCCAGGGACAGCATTGGTCACATGAGCCAAAGTTCACATGTGAAGGTTCAACAGAAGGGCTGTGAGTGGGGCAAAGCTGGGGAGAGCAGTGGTCAAGTGACCCAGCATTCACAAGTGAAACTTCACCGGAAGGGCTGTGAGCCAGGCAGAGCTGGGGAGAGCAGTGGTCTTGTGATACAGAATTCACATGTGAAAGCTCGTCAGAAGCCCAGTGGGCAGAACAAAGCTGGAGAGAGCAACGGTAGTAAGAAAACCGTTGGCCAACGGGTTCCACAGGTCATGTTTATAAAAATCCATAGTGGGAGCCAAATTTGCCGATGCAGTGTATGTGGGAAGTTGTTCCGAAATCCAAGGTACTTTTCTGTACATAAAAAAATCCATACAGGAGAGAAACCATATGTCTGTCAGGACTGTGGGAAAGCCTTCGTGCAGAGCTCTTCTCTCACACAGCACCAAAGGGTGCACAGTGGTGAGAGGCCCTTCCAGTGCCAGGAGTGTGGCAGGACCTTCAATGACCGCTCAGCTGTCACCCAGCACCTGCGCACCCACACTGGTGCCAAGCCCTATGCCTGCCAGGACTGTGGCAAGGCCTTCCGGCAGAGTTCCCACCTCACCCGGCACCATAGGACACACACTGGAGAGCGGCCCTACGTGTGCCACAAATGCGGGAAGGCCTTCACCCAGAGCTCCCATCTCATCGGCCACCAGAACACACATGGCAGGAGGAAGCATAAGAGGAAGCACAAGAAGCAGCCACCTCCTGCCTCCTAGCCCTCATACCACTGGGAGCATCCATCCCACCATCTCCCGTGATGCTCCCATCTAGGGATAACATGTGACAGGGAAGCTGAGGAGGACAACCTGTGATCAGAGGATACTGACACCTGCTTAGCACATGAGTAAATAGATAAACTGTGGGGGACTTGCTAATGAGTACATATTGGAAAGAGATTTAATTTTTTATTAAAAGTAATATTAATGAAATCTGAAGATGCTTATAAATTTTAAAAGTTGGGTACCAAATAATCTTTGCCCTGATAATTATATCTGTAATAAAGTATTTATGTGTCAGCAAGGTCGAAGAGAATATGGATAAACTATATATTTTTGTTTAGAACTTGTTTCCTACCTAAACAATGATTTGATGTTTAAAATAAGCAACATTAAAACATGAGGTTGTGAGATAGTTCAAGCAGATCTGTACACAATTGCAGCATCTTAGCCCAGAGGTCCAGGTAAGTCCAGACAAGTGAGTCATTCCTTTGCTGATGAGTTATCCCACGGGGCAGGAACCCCCTGAGCATGGAACCTCCTGGAAATGTGCAGTTGCTTTGTTTCCAGTCTCCTGAGGGACTCCAGGGAAGGAACCTCTGGCCATTTGCCCATCACCAAGTTAAGCAACAAGATGGTGGCTGTACTAGGTGTGTATTTGATGCCTGCATTCACAACAGATGCACACTGAGAATCTCCAAGTTGCACAGCCTGTGGCATGGAGAACACTGCATCCAAGAGCTCTACCATTGCTCTTTGCAGTTGTTTTGTTTTGTTGAGGCTCTTGCTGTGTAGTTCAGGCTGACCTTGAACTCACTATGGAGCCCCAGGCTGGCCTTGAATTTATAGCAATCCTCCTGTCTTAGCCTCCCAAGTGCTGGGATTATACAGGCCTATGCCACCACACCTGGCCACTCTTGCAGTTCTGCATGACACTTAAAAACATTTTAGGGCTGGGGTGTATCTCAAGAGTAGAGTCTGTACTTAGCATGCACAAGGCCCTGGGTTTGTTCCTAGCCTCCCCAAAGTAAAAATATTCTATAGGTATGGTGAGCACATACCTATAATCCCAGAACTCTGGGAGGCTGATGCAGGAAGATCACACGTTGAGAGTGTAGCTTCAGCAGTTTAGCAAGATACTGTCAAGGTTTTTTTAATTCCAAAAATAGAGCAGAAATACACATTCACCAGCCATTGGTCATGTGCTGCTCTGCATGAGCTTGTACATCTGAAACAGGTACAGTTAGGTCCTCCATACTTAAGCCCTTTCTCTGAAGACATGGTTCAGAGTGGCATAGGGGAAGATGTACTGCGGATGCTCCTCCTGGCTACACACTGCTAGGTCAGTTCTGGGCATGTCTTGAAAAAGCTAATACTCATTTCAAGATACCCTGTAGCAGTCACACTCTGCCTGATAAGTGAAAAGTAGTAGGGCTGCTGGTGCTCCCTTAGCACCTGGCCTCTCTCTCTTCTGAGATTTCTGGGGCCAAAGGGGGCCTTCCCAAAGTGGGTGCTTGTGGACAGATGGAACCTGGACCTTTGGTGCCTTCATCCTCTGAAAATTGCAAAAAAGGCACAGCCAAGTTTACAGCCCTGTCTGACTCGTGTCCACCATATCTGCTCCCACATATGCAGCCTGTTTGTCTTCCTCATCCCTTGATGCACAGAATCTGCAGGTTGAAGCTGAAGACCTTCCTGTGTAGAGATGGGCACTGTGCTCTCCTGAAAACCTTTCATCTCCCTGAAAGACAGTCTCATTGTCCACCAAATGTGGGCATGATGCTGGTTCAAGAAAGAGTGAGACCTGGGGGATACTCAGTGACCTGCCAAGCTAGGTCAGAGGCTATAGTACCTCTGCCTGTTCCCATACAGATCCCAAGCACAAACACCAGCCTTTAAATCACCTTAGCCTGGGGCCAGCAGTTGGTCAGTGGTCCTGGCCAAGAAGAGCCTACAGTGTTATCTCAGTCACATGAGGCCAGACTAACCCCAGAAGTCCTCCATTGTAGGCCTAGGAGCTAGCAAACTACTTCAGGTATTCTGTGCCAGGGGCTGGGGATGCCCTGTGGGAAGATTTCCAGCTGAAACGGTTCTCCTTTGTCTTTGGACTAAACATGAGAAAGAGTTAACTGCTGAGGTCCCCAGGATGGCGAGACTAAGGCAGAGATGGGATCCAAGGCATGGTTAGGTTGAGGAGCTGCCACCAGGGGCACTTACCTTGACCTGTGTGCCATATGCCCCACCCACTGGCTCTGTGGAGTAGACCAGGGACAGCTGCTGAAGGAGAGCTGTGCTTCCCAGCTATTAGATGATAGTGGTGGATGCTCACATGCCTAGAGTTGGCTTATACCTGCATCAGACCTTACACAAAAGTCATTCCTAACAAGCTAATGATTTCCATGGGGGTTTTTTTAATGCAAAATTTAAGATAATTTATAAATATATGGGTTACAAAACTTGTAAAGAAACTAAGATGTATTCATTTATAAAAGAGTAGATACAATGTATTCTATATAAAAATGAGAACTTTTCTTGTATGTCAAAAAATATAGAGAAGAGAAAAGAATATGGGCTGAGAAAAGTATGACACAAGTGACATACAAGATTTCACATTGAAAAAAGCTGTTAAAAGCAATAAATCAGTTATAAAGATAAATCTGTTAGAATTACAACAGATTTCTCAATACAAGCCTTAGAGGTCAGGAGAGCTTGAAAACAACCTCTAACCCCAAATTATATATCCTAAACTATCTTTCAAAATTGATACAGAATTATAGTCTTCCCATGACAAAGAGTACCTTAAAAATTAACCAGCATTCCAAAAACTTATCTAGGATGTCCTAGAAAGAGACAATGAAGCTAACTGTGCCAAAAGTTTCAATGAAATGAATATACCAAGTAGGGTGAGAATTTAAAGGGTAGGGGTCAGCAACAGGAAAACAATGCAATGACAGGAATAAGTCAATACTGTACCTTTCAGTAATAACTACCAATGTGAATGGTCCCAACTTCTCCATCATAAGACAGGTTGGCAAGTTGGATTCAAAAACAAGACCCAACAGTATGCTGTATAAAAGAATGCACCATGTGGCACCCTGCCTGAGAGCCAGTTGGTTATGGACTGAAACCTCTACAAACTGTGAGCTAACTAAACCTTTCCCCCTTTAACTTTGGGAGTCAAGTATTTTGTCTCAGCAATGTTTTCTCAGAAAATTAAGACAAAAAGTACCAGAGAAGTGGAATTGTTGCAGTGACTATACCTAACCATGTGGGTCAGGCAACTTTGGGACTGACTTGTGGGAAGAGTTTGGAAATGTTCACAGATGCCAGCTGAAAAAGTAGTTGGACACCTTATGCTATACTTTATGGGAGAGTCTGGTCAGAGCTCAGAAAACCAGAAGGCTGATAGAATGCTGCTTGCTGGTAAAGACCAGGCTCAAGAGGTTTCTGTTGGGTAAAAGGACTGCATTGGCTGTTGGACTACAGAGGATGTGTGTTATGGCTTGGTAGAAAGTTTGTCTGCATTTCACTCATGTCCAGAGACTGTGCCTGAGACTGAAATTAAGGGTGGCAGACTAATCTGGCAGAAGAAATTTCCAGGCAGTCTGCTATTGAGGTTGTGCCATGGCTACTGTTGGGGGCCTTTAGACAGATCAAGAGCCAAGCCAAATGAATTAAAATATTTTCAGTTTAACCAAGAAGAAAGCTCCAGTAAAGTTGCAGCCTGCGAAGATAGAGCAGAAGAGATCTTGATTGTTGAGAAGGAACAGGAGAATAGAATAGATGGCCTGAGGACATCACAAGAAACACCAGGATTCCATCCTTTGCAGTCTCAGATTGCAAAAGTGAAAGACTTTGCCTTGAGATGAGTGTGCCAGAGCACCATTGTCAGCCATTCTACATAATTGGGGGGGGGGGATCATTTCACAGTTAAACTATGATTAGGCTTAGTCTTACTGCCTACAGGCCAGCTATAACATACAGAACTCCATTTTTGCCTGTGGTCACAGCTGAGACCTCAGTGGTCCTGTGATGCTGTGACACTCAAGGGCAAGATTACATCAGCTGAAGATGCCCTGGTTCTTTGAACACCAAGTGGTAAGAGAAAAGTTTCATCTGGGAAGGGACAAATTCCTTACTAGCTTAACTCAGCCCACCTACTGTTGTAAAAACATCTTTGCTCATCTTATTGTGCTAATCAATTTAAGCTCCTCATCGACCTAAAATCGTCATGGTCATAGGATTGCCGCCACCCTCCAAGACATCTGATACTTATTCTAATTATAAGATCTTCATCAGTCTAGAATTATCGCCACCCCCTGAGTCATCTGTTACACCTTACAAACCCAATAAATAATGGTAAGCTCCGGATGCCTTGTCTTTGCTGCTCAGAGCAGCATTGATGAGGCCTAGAACCCAGCTTCTTTGCTTGTCTCATTTGCTGTCTTTATTCTTTAATTTCCCTTGCACTGTCCTGGCTCACAGAAGACCAGGACCCACAACAAGGATTCTGGTAACATATCTTTTCCCAGTTCCCTACATACCATGTTCCAGAATAGCAGTGGCCTAGGGCAGTTGTTCCTCTGGATTTGGTTCATAGGCATTGGACCCTACAGTCAAAAGAGAAGGAAACCTGGCTACTGCTCCAGTTGGTGGCAGACTTTTGGCATCATCCACGTGGTGTTGGTTTTATGTGCATGCAGAATGAGGGCCGGGGATTTAGCTCAGTGGTTCTGCCACCTGCCTTGCAAGCACAAGGACCCGAGTTCAATTCCCAGTACCAAAAAAATAGAATGCAAGAGTTGTGGGGTCAGGAAGGCCTCCACAGATTCACAGAATTCAGAAGAATTCCAAAGATTTCAGAAGAAGGCCTGGGAGGCCAGGCAGTGTGCCCCTGAGAGGACAATGTGTGAAGCTCAGAATATGAAGCCAAAGGTACAGTGGAGATCCCAGAAGGTTGGAGAAGCCAGGAATCTGGATCATCCAAGGAAAGCTGCAAGGAGTGAGCAAAGTCAGCCACAGAAGGAACCTATGGGAGGCACAACCACAGGGAGTACCACCATGGCTGGGCCACCCAAACCCTTTGGAGTTCACAACTTGTCACAGATTGCTGGGGGTGCTGGAAGTGGAACTGTGAGATTTACTGTTTGCCCTGCTGGATTTTGGACTTGCCTTGGTCCCATTCCTTTGTATGCTCCTGTTTGTAACTTTTGGAATGGAAATGTCTATCTTATGCCATTGAATGTTAGACATGTTTAACTTTCTTTTCATACAAAAAATAGGGGCTTGCAGCTAAGAATTTGCCTTAACTTTCAGGAGACTTTGGACTTGGACTTTTCAGCAATGCTGAAACTGTTAGGACTTTGGCAACTCAGAGATGGACTAAATGGCTTTTGCATAAAGGGATGTGCACGA